CTTAAAGTTTTTCTCAATCATACAAACCAGAGGAAGGCAATGACATTCTAAATGTCATTTAAGAACATTAATACCACTTGTTTGGAGTGACTCTCAGTTTGAGACATTAGCAAACTATAATTACATTTATTATAAAGCAAAGTTTGAGATTTGAACCTGATTTCACAAAACAATTTCCATGTGGGATAATGTTAATTGACTCTTAACTTTAATGTGAAAGTTAAAGGTAAAAGTGGTTTGCCAGTTTTTGAGTCCTAAAAGACGTTCTAATTGCTTACTGTAATTTGAAGTTATTAACTACTGTGGTAGTTGATCCAGGATTGGGCAGTATTTTGTTCTGCTGTGCATAAGGTCGCTATGATTCAGTACCAACTTGATGGCACCTAACAACAAACAATAATAACATAATAAAATACTGTGAATGAATATCTTACAGTAGAACCAAAAAATGGGTGTAAAACACTGAAGATTCTACTCCAGACTGATTACTAAAAATCCCATAGTATCAGAATAGAAACAGTTCAATTTGAGATAAAAGCTGTCATTTCGACAAATGATTGATATACATATATACTTATTTATATATTTATTATATTCAATAAATATAATCCCATGCAAACCTGCTTCAGTATTCCCCTATCTACCTTGTTTTAAATGAGTTTTTGCAAGAAGCATGCTAAGAATCAGGTTTTAATTGGCATATCTTGTTTGACTTAAGGCAAAATAATCTAGAATATATATACAATGTATAGTTATAAGGTTTAAACTTTAGCTGAACTAGAAAGACTAGCACCAAAGTGAATAACATATTTTCGCTAACATATTTAGTTTCCATTCATTATTAGAAGTATTACAAGTTAGTGGCCAGCTAAGAGTACATTTGCACAAACGTACCTTGAGAAAAACAAAATATGGAGTGTTTAACAACTTCAGAAACATACAGATCTAATTTACTGATAGCTCAATTTCTCCATGTTTCTAAATTCTTGGTTAAAATGGTTAATTTATCAACTAAGTATTAAACTAATTTCAGAATTCACTTGATGTTGCTTGAAAAATATAAAATGTCAGTAAGTCAAAAATTTGTGGCAATTTATAAAAACATTTTTTTTCAATTAATTTTTAAAACTTGATTGAATAGCATGCTGGTGACTGTAAGTAAACCATTGAATAAGTTGATGGGTTAAACTTTTTTTGATGTCGCAAACCTCTAATTAAGAAGTAAATTTTAGTTTACACTTAATAATTTGCTTCTAAACTGCCTTCAATTTGAATTTCATTAAATTTTCTATGACTGTATGTTTAATGATGCACATTGTTAATCCTTGCATATTGATGTATTTAGAATAAAATTTAAAGTCCTAAGTGGTGGTCTGGTTGCAGTTTTATGAAACCAATTAACAGGGCATGGGGCAGCAGCTCAAATTTTAGCACCTTGGAATTCGAATCCATTTCTACATTGTTAACCTTATACATGTTTCTGAACACTTACTAGCCTTATTTGCCATTATAAACATGAAATTCTTTCCTACAGTTGGAAAATAGCATATTTTCTGGCTTCCACTTGGCTAAAGGCAGAGAGTTTGTTGTTTTTTGTAATAATAACTAGACACAGATTTTTAGTGGCACAATAAAGAATAAATAGTTTCTCAACTGTAGCAAGTTAGTCTTACAAACCATCCTTTAAAAATTTTCAGGTTCAATTAAATGAAGCTGTTAGAAAGTTTGAGGGTTTTTGTTTTGGTCATCAAGTGGCTCTAAACTATTCTATATCCCATAATCTCAAAGTCTTGGTATGGCACTGTAGGATAAGCACTGGACTGTTAGCTATAAGGTTTGTGGTTCAAACCCACCAGCTGCTCCTTGGGAACCCTATACAGGGTTGCTATGAGTCAGAACTGATTCAGTGGCATTTAACAGTAATAACATTTCCCATGTTGTTATGTGCCATGGAGTCAGTTCCAACTGGGTTCCAACTCATAGTGACCCTGTATAGGGTTTCTGGGGCTATAAATCTTTACGGGAGCAGAAAGCCTCAACTTTCTTCCACATAGTTTTAGGTAAATCCCATATATTTTATTCATTTTTCCCTCTTAGTAACCATCATATTATAGTTACAGGGAAAAGTTATCTAACACCTCATCTGTTGGGACACTAAATGCTATACTTTTTTTTCTCTAACTACCACAAAGTTACAATTATAAGGAAACTATCTTCAACATCTCATCTGTTTGGATGCTAAATGTTCATAGTTGCATTTGAGAATTGCCACTTTTCTTTTTCTACCTTAGTTAGTGCCTCTTTCACATGAAGGAATCACTTCAAATTCTCTTGAGTCCAAAGCTAAAGCCTCCTCATTTTGCATCACCTACCAAAAAACCTTTTCTGACTCTGAAAAGCATCCCAGGACAGGGTTCAGATGTGAGTTTCTGTAACTCTTCATGGAAGTAATCCTACAAGTCTTGATTTAGATTAAGATCATGCATGTAGATGTATAGTAATGTAACTGTCTAGCAACTTCCTTATTACTAGTGCTTGCAAAACCGTCACATCCTCGAAATTTTAACCCACCCAAACTGCCCTGTCCCAGGGAAATACACTTGTAAGTGTATTCTGATTTGTCATGAAATCATCCCAATAAAAGGGGGGGGTATTATTCATGGAAAAACAGAATTAAAAAAATAGACTTTTCCCATGACCTTCTGGATGCTATGGCATGCAGTAAGAGTAACAGTCCTAAGGCATATTACTTCCAGTGACTCTAATATTTTCTAACTTGTTGCAAGTAACAGAATAAAAATACGATTACTTAGGGGTATAAAAGTAACTTTCATCTCAGTTAAGTTGATGTTTATGCTTTACTTTGTGCAATAACACTCATGCACAACTTTCATAGCTTTTAAGAATTTACTCTTCAGAACAAAAAGCAAGGTGGTTGTTGTTAGGTGCCATCAAGTTGGAACTGAACTATAGTGACCCTAAGCAAGGTAGCAGCAGTTTATAAACTATGAAATCCCATAGATTTGCATACACTTCTACTACCATGAAAACATTAATTTAGTTCCAATGAAATTTGGCATTAGTATTAGTAGCTTAAGATACTTGAAAAATTTAGAACATGTTGTGTTCCTTGCTAATCTTAAATCAGAGAATTTAACCCTTTCAGGTTTTTAAAATATCAAGTTGAAAAGTCACTTGTAAAAATTTAAGACTGGGCTTTGAACAGGTTGATCAGAATCTACATTTTAACAAGAGTCCCCAGGTGATTCTTGCATAAGCTATCACCTGGGGACTCTTGTTAAAATGTAGATTGATTCAGTATACTTGGAATGCAAATGCAAATTTTCAATAGGGGTTGATTGGGAGTGAACTGGTTCAAAACTCGGCTTTAAAATTTCAAAATTCCAAGAAAGAAAAGAATATACTCTTGTTACTTTTATGCTAGTACTCCTGTCTCCTTCTTGAGAAAATTCTAGTCCATTTCACTAATAAAAATGTTTTCAGTCTCAAGATACAAAATAGAACTAAACTTCCTGGCCTAGCTTGAAATCTTTAAGAGGCTACTGTGAAAAAACAAATAAACAAACAAACAAACAAAAAACTTTCAGACTTCCTACAGCAAAATAATTAAGAAGAAAACATGCATGACAACGCTGTGTACCATGGCAGGACTGGAATTCAGAAACGATGCCTGGGGTAAAAGTTATCTGGGTTCTCTGACAGGCAAGGAGCAACTTGAACAGGGTCCTCCATCCAGTTTTCAAAATCTCACCTGTGAATACCTCAAGACACCATCACAGCCGGCAGAGGGGAGAAGTATAATGCCTGATCTCCGTCCTAAGAGTACCAACAAACGGAAAGCCAAAGGCAATTCTCCAGATAAAAAGAATGCGCGTGCTATGTGCAGCAGGTTGCAAACTTTCAGAGAAGCTCTAAGTTAATTAACTACCATCTAAGGCCGCCTGGCAGTCCTGGTGTGGCTCTGTGGGTTAATGCGCCAGACTGGCAAGCCGTTCGTACTGCAAGGTCGGCAGTTCAAGCTCACCAGTTGCTCCTCGGAAACCCTATACCGGGTCGCTATGGGTCGGAACCGACTCGACGGCACTTCACAACAACAACAAAGCCACCTAGCACTCCGGCTGTGATAGGGAAATAGTACCTCAATATATTTACCACAAAACCGACCTTGCCCAAACATCTCCATCCACACCCCAACACACTTACCCAAACAAACAAAAACAATAACAAAATCACTCATTGACGTTGAGTTATACTGACTCATATAGACCCTAATCTGCCAAACCAATGCAGCTTCCAAGACAGGCAGCCCACAGGAACCATCAAATTCCCGGTGAAACCTGACCGCTTTGTAAAGCCTTCCGGAAGAAGAAAAGATCAAACGAGACCGGCTCAGCGGGGGTCTTCCCCAGATGACCCCAAAGTTAAAGTATTTATTTTCACGCTGCAAATGCTGATGCTTTACAGAGACAGTTCATGCTTGAGCTCTGCATAGAGCTGAAGACAAAGTAACGTTTTAATTAATGTTATAATAATTATAATTATTCTTTAACAAAGCTATTAAATAATCTGTACAAAGCCCTGCCCGGTCCTAACAAAAACTCGAGCACCATTTCAAATCTCTCAAAGTCCTTCTGTTTTAATCCAGCGGCGTTTCCTATATACAAGGGTGGCTCAGGGTGGTCCCCAAGAATTTTGGTGTTCCTGACAATGGAAATGGTTCAAAATTTAGAACCGTCCTGGGGGAAAGCAGGGCTCCCAACCATGACGCACGTGGCTTAAACTCCCAACCCTACCTCCCCCGATCCTCCTGGGCGTTCGGTCCCTGTCCGGAAAAGCTGACAGCCTGACCCCGCTTTGCGTGGTGGGCAGCAGGAAGAGGCAAGTAGTCTTCTAGGTCTCCCCTTGATCAGCTGCTCACAGAACCGGCTCCTCATAGGATTTCCCTACAGAAGCGTTAGAAACCGAGTCTCCTGGTGTGCTCACAGATCTCGCGGGTCCTCCCTTTTGACTCCAGCCTCAGCAACTTTGAGCTTCTTATTCTGGTGCGTCTTAACATGCTTAGCGAGATGGTCGCTGCGCATGAAGCGCTTGCCACACTCAGGGCATGCGAAGCGCTTCTCACCGGTGTGAGTCCGCAGGTGCCGCTGCAGCTCGTCGGAGCGTGTGAAGCTCTTGCCGCAGAAAAGCCAGTTGCACACGAAGGGCCTCTCGCCCGTGTGCCAGCGCAGGTGCGCCTTCAGGTGCGAGGTCTTGCCGTACACCTTGCCGCAGCCCGGCACATGGCACACATGCTGCTTCTTCTTACCCGGCTCCGCCTCGTGGGCGCCACTTGCCGCCTGGCAGTTGGGGCAGCGGCAGCGGCGGCACCTCCTGGCCGTGGCCGCCAGGGGGGCCTTGGTCTGCAACAGAGCGGCGATCTGACTCTGGTACTGTGCAAAGTCCGACGGCCCTAACACCAGGCCCCGTTGTAAGACTGCTGCAGCTGCAGCCGCGGCAGCCGAGGCAGGGTAGCGAGGCGCGTGCCCACCTCCTGCACAGGCACCAGGGAGGCCGCCCCCTGGAGCCCCGGAGGATGCCGGCCCGGCGCCAGCCTGCGGGATGCTCCACCAAGGGAGGTCGTCGGGGGCGGGGTTAGGAGACAGCTGGCGGCAAGTGGGCTGCGGGGGAGGCGGCGGCGGTGGCGGCGGAGGCAGCAGGTTGGAGTAGCCAGGCGGTAGCGCGGCCTGTGCCGCGTAGGGCACGTAGGAAGGCGCGCAGCTGGCAGGCAGTGCAGCCATGCTCGAGGGCAACATCTTGACTGGCGAGAACTCATAGGGGTACGAAGGGTCGGCGGGAGGTGTAAGCGGCAGCTCGTGTGCGGCCCCGAAAGACGGCTGCAGGTGCGTCTTCTGCGGCGTTAGCCCCAAGCTGGGGTGCGGGGGCGGCAGCGCGCTGGGAGAATGTGCTGGCATGTCTGCGGTCCACGGGTGGAAAAGCCTGGAGGGCGATCCCAGCGCGGGGTCGTAGGGCACCTGCAGAAAGTCCGGGGGCGCCACCGCGCCCGGCTGTCCTATCCGGCTACAAGTGGCAGCCAGTAGTGCCAGGGGCGAGTGTTTTCCCAGGTCCGGGGAAGCGCTGGGGGTGCGGTCCTGCATGGGTGGCGGAGGGGGATAGTGGAAAAGAAACAAAAGGTTAGAGCTTCAAGTGCGGTCTTCAGCCGTCCACCAACCTCTCGACCCCCACACCGGCTATTATACCGCCGCCCTTCCCTCACTATGACCCCCACTGTCTTTCTCCTCTACCCCACGCACGCACGCACCCACCGGTCCAGAAAAACTTTTAGTGCTTGCGCTATCTGAAGGCAGGACGCAGGGGCGCTTCCCGCTGAAGTACTTGGTACAGACAGTCACTATCCAGCCTGAAAAGTAGTCACCAAGTGGGAAGGAAGGGTTCTGATGGGCTGCCCTGGTCTCCGCGGTCAGTAAGAGTCTGAAAACCACCGCAGCCTGTCTGCCTGCACCCTCCTCCCGCTCTTTTAAGCTCTGGTTTCACGCTCCTCCCTAGCACGCACAGGACTGAAATCAACAGCAGGGCCCCAGCAGGGTGAGCTTAGGCCGTGTTCTTGCCCAGTTGCGCACCTCCGTATAAGCGTCCCCCAAAGGCCACACTCTTTGACACCAGGTTAGGTGTGAAGTTAGCGTGGGCACCCTTCTTCCCAGTTTTTCACCTAGGTTGACTCCAGGGGCACCACCGACTGGGGTTCCCTTTGAGATTCAGAGTGCACCAAGTGCCCCGCGAGTTCCGGTCACAGCCCTTCCTCTCCATCCCCTTCCCGGCCCTGACCTGGAGGAAGGCCTGTAGCGAGTCGTTCCGGAGGACGGCCACGGCAGCCATAGCTACAGTTCTCGGACCGCTCGACGCGGTGATGGGCGCAGCCGAGGCATGGAGACCCGAAGGCGAGGACGAGTGACCGCCCAGCGTCCCTCCCAGGCGCCCACTCTGCGCACCGTGGCCCTCCCAGTCCGCGCCCCTCGCCGCGCCCCGCTTCCTCGCCCGCGCGCGATCTGAGCGCTTCAGGATCACCTCCAAGAATTTGATAAGGACTTTGCTGGGCCGCCAGCCAGTCAGAGAGAAGATTTATGGCTTTGAAGTTTGCCGCTACCCAATCATCAAAGAATAGCGGCTCTTTCAGAAGCGAAAGCAAATCCTTTGAATCCACAAAGCTCCTATGGTGTGTTTGTTGGTCTGGATAAAAGAACTGATTATTAGGGGGGATGGGAAGGGAGGAGATAAAGGCGGGACAATTAATGAAGTAATCACTATGTGGGAAATGTATATACACAAATAATTGGATTTTCCTGATCAAAGGGGGCCTTGCCGCCTGGAGACCCGCGCTTGGGTTGCTTGAGACACTCGATCACCCTCTTACATCCCTCTTCCCCAGTTGCAATTAAAGATTTGCACCGAGGCAGCGCCTAAGTGACAAAGTGTCTTTGTTATCTCCAGAGAAATCGGCCTTTCCAGGCACGGGACTTTGACAGGGACCAGTATAACTCTTTCCCAGTACTTGCATGCCCATACCCACACAGCACATGAACAGGTCGCTGCACACTGCAGACCCTACCAGGTTCTTGGGGCGGGGCTTGAGATCCTCGGACTTTGTGTCCCTCCGCCCTCCGTGGGTGGTGCATCGGGCAGGGCTGTGACCTGGGGCGGGGGCGGGGGCGGGCGGCCGCAGACGATGGAGGTAGGTAGCACGCACGTACTTAGTCCTGCTAGAGTGATGAGGCTCGCTTGTGAGGCTTCTGCAAGCCATCTGGAAGTTTTACTCAGCCCCAAACTTTTGCAAATAGTTTCACCATGTTAACCCCTTTCCCCCAAAATGAGCATAGCAGAACACCCAGAACAGCCCGAGGGGGGTGGGGAAGTAAAAGTCCTGCCCAGTGCTATACCTCCCTTTTCTCCCCGGCAGACAGACAGTCCTGGACACGGCGGAGTTCCCTGAAGACAACTGACCACAGTTAGGTCCCACGGAAGCCCCCACAATCCTGGAGGAAGGCTGAAGGATTTTTTTTTTTTTTTACTCAACAAATGGCAAATCATAAAGGGGAAAGACAGTCAATATTAACTTTTGTTTCTGTCACTTTTGGAAAGTTAAACAGTCCAGCCTCGCTTGGGACAGGTTGGAGCTTGCTAGAGTTGTTTCCTCACTCTATGCTGCTGCAAGGACCGTCTGTGTGTGGACCCTGCTGCCGGGAAAGTGCAGACCTGGCCTCACCCAGGAGTGGAGAGAAGGGAGAGAGAGAGAAAGTGGGCGGACGCCGCGGGGCCTAGCCAAACTGGCTGCTGTAGCTCTTGACGTCTCCACCGGCCTCCCCCCCCCAGGACACCAGCGCCTCTCTCCCAGGCTTCCGGCCGTTTGGAGCGTCCCAGATTAGCTTGCACTCAACCTTTCACTTTACTACCCCCCAAAGACTCTGGGTCCTGAGGCCAAAAACCTCTCTACCCTGTACTTTATCCTCCTGGGATCCGTATTGAGGTCGGGACTGAAGTATGGACAGACAGGATGGTCCAATTTGTCGCACGGGGATCAGTGGTTAGCCCAATTTATACAGGCACAGGATTTAATCTGGGCTGAATGTGAATCCCTATCAGGTGTCTGTGCGTTACACCTCCAGGCGCAAAGTCCCCCATGTCCGCGTTCAGAGGCAGAAGCTCATGCTGCACGCCTTTGCTCCAAGAGTTGCAGAGAGACATCTTAATGAAGATGCAGGCATTGAGGGCTGCCTGTACACCTGCTTGGCAATTCACCTCTCCACCACTTCTCCCAACTAAGAGTCTCTCGGGGACTAGGAACAGAGACGGAGCCGCTGGGTTTACTCGACCTGGCTCCTCCTGGAGATGAGATTGGGGTGCTTCTAGGCACGACGGACCTGTGTCCCCCTTTGACCTTCGGGCCCTAAGAGACGCTTTCCTTCCCCGGATTCGGGGGAGCTCTGGGGTACATACTCGCACTGTCTGCGCCCTCTAGGCTGGTATCCTCGCATCTTTGTTCATTCTCTTTGCCTCCTTCAAGCTCTTCAAATTCCCCATTACAATAGGAGGTGAGCTGGCATGGGCCTCTGGGCAAGTTCGAAGCATAACTGTTTTCACCACTCAGCCACTTATATTTTGGACAAGTTACTTAACCCCTTTGCTTTTCCATTTTTACAATGGGAGTCAAAATGATAATAGTAGTTCCCAGTAAAGTGCTTGTAGGCTTAATTAAGTAAAAGTCCCTAGGACAGTCCTGGGCACGTAGCAGGTTCTTTCTACGTGTTCCCCACACTTGGTTTTATCTCCTTTTGTGAAAAAAACACCCGGATTCTAGCTCTCCCAGATCTGCTCTAAAGTTTGTAGAGAGACTTTTTCAGACTGCTGCCTAGCTTCTCTCCCTTGTCGTACTTGGGGACTCCCGAAAAGCTTATTAATGAAGTAATAATGTTCGGAGTGTCTATTAAAAATGCAATGCTGGAAGATCAAAGTACAATATTTATTTTAGAAATTTGTTGCAATCCTCAAGAAATACAGGTATCAAGGCCAAATGTTAGTTCTATTACAGAAAGCCCCACAATGGAGAAAAGCGTGTGGCTGCTCTGTGATAATGTAAAGAGACATCAAAGACTGAGCGCGCTGCAAAAGTGCGCAGCCAGGAGGGAGATCCTGAGCCCCGCCATATCGGCGCGGGGGCTGCGGAGCGGGGGTCAGTTCAAAGAAGTATCCATTGGGGCTTGAGTTCACAGGAGGAAAGATTTAATGGGTTTTCTTTTGTTGATGGGTGTGTCTGTGTTCAGCGGACCCAGGAACTCCTATGGGGTCCTGCTGCCCTGGGAGGAGACTTGAGCTGAGCCAAAATCCGGAGCGAACTCTCACCGCAGTTGCGGCAGAGAAGTTGAAAACTGACCTCCTGGAGGCAGGCTCAGCGGAGCCACACTCAGCGGAGCCACACTCTGAGCGATTCTCCAAGCAGCGGGGTTGTGAAGCCGGGAAGTTTGCACTGCAGTTTCTTCTAGAGAGGGAGGGAGGGAGAGAGGGAGGGAGGGCGGGCGGGCAGGAAGCGCCCACAGAGTGTAACCTGCGAGTTGAGGAGGGTAGGTGAACGCTCAGAGGCTCAGAGGTAGCGGTTGAACCAGCATAGCTCGTTCTGGGATCCACTCCAGAAACGTGCTGAGAAGTTTGGGGTTGCTATTTCGCACCCATGCCTGGTACCTCACCTCAGGCATTTTCTTGCAACAACCAGGGACACACGCCTCTGACATATATTCAACCAGATAATTACCCCCTCTCCAGCTGATCTATACATTATTTGGGGGCATTCCAACAACTTCTTAATTCATTGGTTCTTTGCGGCAGTGTTGCTTAACTGACCAGACCTAGTCCCCTTCCTCAATCTTCTAATTGCCGGTATCTGCCTAGTTGTAGTATCGGCGTTGCTTTATTAAAGGGGCTGGGATGGGGGACAGAATTTCTCTTGTGAGCACAGAGTCTCAGGAGGATGCCTGTGCGTTTCTAAAGTCATCTACAACCAAGTATTCTTAGAGCAGTCTCTCGGCACTCTTTTGAAGTTGTGCTAGAGCAGAAAGCTGCTATTGTTCTCAGCTCTCAACATAGAAGGGATCAAACTTTGCCTCTTCAATTTCAATGATTTTTTTTTTTTTTTTAAATGGTGGTGGAGGGGGGAAGGGTTGCAATCTGATACTCTGTAAGTTAACTTTGAGGATTTGGAGCTGTCTAGAAGTTTAAGCTGCAGACCAAGTCACAGATGCCCTAATGCCTGCTTCTGAAACAGGGGCTCTTGATCATTAATATGGCTGAGTGCATTCAGTTGCAAGCAATTATAGTGGTGGGAAAATTTGGAAAACACTGGCTTGGTGACAGAGTTCCCTTGATTAAAAAAAAAAAAATGGGAAAGTTACCTCAACTAGAAACCTTGAGTTAATTTTAAGCGTAAACTTCAAAACTGGATCAATGGATGAAGAAATGAAATATTATTAGAGCTAGTAGGGATCCTGTATCTCAAAGGATTCTACTCTACCACCTCATTTGATGGTAAGAGGAAATAGCATTTGCATAATGACGTGTGTCATGCCTGCACAATTATTTTGTTGTTGTTATGTGCCTTGGAGTCGATTCCTACTCTTAGCGACCCTGTTTCCGAGGCTGTAAATCTTTACGGGGAGCAGAAAACCTCATCTTTCTCCCACGGAACAGCTGATCATTTTGAACCGCTGACGGTGAGATTAGCAGCCCAATTCATAACCACTACGCTACCAGAGGTTCAATAAAGGCTCACTGGTGTTGGGTGGTAGAGTGGAATTGTGTGTGTCGACTAGTGTTATCCCGTAATGATTGTCTGGTGCTACAGAGCTCACAAATGTAGTAAGAAATCAGAGGAGATGATGCCATAGTTATAAAGGCTTTTTCAAGAAGTTGGTTGATGTTTGATCTTTTAAGTACCCATGGCATTTTAATAGGGTGGTCTCAAGTCGCTTCTGATTCATAGCAGCCCTGTATAGCATTTCTGAGGAGTGACTGATGGGTTTGAACGACCAGTTGAGGCTAGCAGTCCAATGTTTATCGTACTTCACTACACCAGTAGTGCTGTGCTTTTTGATCTTCATCAGTAATTGTTTTAAGACCGCTTCACTTTCAGCAAGCATATTGCAGGTTGTTAATGAGTCTTCCTCCAATTCTGATGCCACATTTTTCTTCATAGAACCCAGGTTCTAGGATTATTTGTTCAGCATACAGGTTGAATAAGTATGGTGAAAGAATACAACCCTGTC